GTGAGCATTCTTGGTACCCATCTTGCGCAGACCTTTGAATAGCCTAAATGTTCAGTCAAAATCTTGTCAATTGTGGTTTTGCTGACCTCCGGAATCTTTGTGCACAGCTCCCGAACTGTAATCCGTCGATCTTCAAGCATTGCCGCTTCGACTTTGGCAATTGTTTCGTCGGAAACCGATGGCCGCCCTGCACGGGCTTCGTCGTGGACGTCTGTTCGGCCATTTTTAAAGTCCCTGGCCCATCTGCGCACCATCCCGCAGCTCATACAGTCTTCTCCATACACTTGACAAAGTTCTTCGTGAATTTCCTTCGCCGATTTGTTCTTAGCGGCCAGGAAACGAATAACAGACCGCAACTCGCAGCTGGCGGGAGACGCAAGAGGAAGCTCCATCGCTGACGGCTGCTGAGCCAAGACTAAACGTCGCAGCGACGCTGGCTTGGTGAGGGATTGGAGTGGGGGAACCAAACAATCTGCCTCTGTTGCCTGGCTGTGCATAGAAACGATCCTAGCGCCAGCGGCAGCCCGTGGAACTTATTTTACGGACAAGCCTCGTATAATCTAAAACGTTTTTAAATTGGGTAATTAACAAATAAATAGCATCAATTTTTTCTAAGTTAAGCCAAAATTTATAGTCAGTAAGTAAGTTTCATTCAATTAAATATTTAAAACACACATACAACAGCGCGTCGGTCATTCACTCTTATCGAACCGGCAATCGATCGCAAACGGTAACAGTGGTTAGTTATTGTTCGCGTACGCGTCGTGTTTATTTACAATGTTCTCGAATCAAGAGTTCGCCGACATGTTGTTAGTTTACGGTGAAGCTCGTCAGAATTCAAATCTTGTAGCTCAAATTTATCGCGACCGATTTCGCCAACGGGTACCACCCAGACAGAAGGACATTTGTGCAAGTGTACCAAAGACTTCGAGATACAGGAAGTGTTCAGCCCACTAATATTCGCACTCGTGAAAGACAGGTTACTGTAGAGCAGGAGGAACAAATTTTAAATATCGTTGAAATCAATGCAGATATCAGCATTCGGGAATTAGGCGGCCGCGTAGGACTATAGCATACCATAGTCCATAGAATCCTACGGGAAAATTTGCTTTATCCCTACCATTTACAACGAGTGCAGGCCTTGTTACCAGAAGACTATCCTCGCAGACTAACATTCTGTCATAATATTTTCATATTCATAATACTGACACGTGGGTCCAAGAAAATCCTCATACCATTCGTCAAGGTCATTTCCAACAACGTTTTAAAATAAATATTTGGGCGGGTCTTCTTGACGAACAGGTAATTGGCCCTTTCGAGTAACCCCCAAAGTTGTCAGGAGAAGGATACCTTAGCTTCCTAGCCAATAACCGACCAGAACTTTTGGAACAGACCTTAGACAACATGCCATTACAACGGAGACAGAATTTGTGGTTTCTTCATGACGGGGCACCACCACACGTTTTTAGAGGCGTCATTCAGTATTTGAATGAACATTATCCAAATCGCTGGATCGGTCGAAATGCTCCTGATCCTCGAAATGGCCAGGGAGATCTCCTGACCTCAATCCGATGGATTTCTGGTATCGGGGAGAACTTAAAGGGACGGTTTATGGCGCTGGTCCAATAACAACTGAAGCATAACTTCGCGAAAAGAAATTTTTCGGCTCCATACATAAAATTATAAGCAGGAAATCTTGACCGAAATCTTTAGTTAGTTTTTGACTGTCAAAATTATCTCCATTTTGAATGGTTTAACACGTTTACTCAAATCTGGCAACCCTGTCTCTTGATTCTCATTTCTATCGAGTCCTTTCAAGAATACAGTATTTTCAAATCGATAAAAAACTGAGGGAGTAGAACAAGAGGGAGTGTGATTTTCTATTAAAGTCAAGAATAGGGGTTCCCCACAGCCAACATCGTCAAAAGTTTTCTTCATATATCCTCAATTTTCTCGAATACAAATTTACTAGATCAATAATTAAGTCATCTATATTGCGGGTTAAATGGACAGTTCCATTACGAACTGCTATATAGAGAAGATGCGATTAGCAATAAACTGCGATTTAGACTAGATTACTTTTTGCGTTGACGATGCCATATATGAAAATAAAATTGCTTAAAAACAAGCCACTATATGAATTAAAATTTGCAAATACAGAAAAGCAATTGTCTAAATTGACTTCGAGGAAGTCGGTGTGAATCATCACACTTGATATGTTCATCGCTTAACACCCATATTTTATCAACCAGAGAAGCGATAACTACATTTGATATTCAGCTACTGATTCGGCCAAGGTTAAACGGATGATAATTATCTAGACACAAAATAACAATGAGCCCGTTCAATATTTCGATAACGTCTGCACAACTGACAAAATTATTCATAATGAATACTCTAGCCATAAGCCATGTCTTACTATCCATCTTCACATTTTATCTTTGGGTTAAAATTTTAGTTTGATTAGCTTGATATCCTCTTTGTTTGTACGAAAATCGATGTTTTTGATGTGGCTCATTTCCGTTCAAGGACAAAGGACATATTTTTACGGCAATTAAGGATTGAAGTTATTTGATATTTTTGAAAAATCGCAATTTAAAGTGTGTACCATGTGGTGCAATGACAAACTTTGCTTTGCTTATTTTGGATGACATGGGGGGTAGGGGAGTCTAGATTATGATTTCTTCATCGGTAGTTATTTACTTTTTTACACGAATGGCAGCCCTCACATTGTCTTTACTTGAAAACGAAACGCATTTTCGGGGATTCCCGCAAATAATGCATACGTTTAGTGAACTGCGCGCGGTAATTCCCCTACTCGCTTTAGAACCGAGTAGGGGAATTCCCGCGCGGTGTTCACTTGTCTAAATTTCCTCTATCAGTGTAATGTTTCGTTTGGATACTATAGCGAGTAGACGTATTGTAAGCATAGTAAAGCAAGTTAACATTTGTGTTACCATTGATTCCATAAGCCAAAGTTTAATGTTTAAATAAGATGTCGTTTCACATAGACAAATCCAAGTTATACCAAAAATTGTTTGAAAGTTTTAAAAAATCTCATACGAGTACGAAAGTACAAAATGTACAAAAGTTAGTTAACGAAGTGTGACGAAATTACAAATTACAAGCAAAATCCGACAAGGAACTAGATATTATTGTATCTAAGAGAATCGAAGAAGAATTGCAAGCGGCGACTAAGAATAAATCCAATCTACTACATTTTTTTTCTAAGGTGAGTGACGAAATCATTTTAGGTACCTATGAGTACTACAAATATTAGAAACCGCCAAAAAGTTTCTCTTTACTGATTAGAAAATATTATGGCCTATCTTAAAGTATAGAGGTAATATTCGTTATATTATAGATTTATTATTTATGCCGTCAATTGGTCACAGAGTACAGGATGTTACTTTTATACATATATACAGAAAACTAACACCCTGTATTTTGTGACCGGAACGAATTGCTCGTTTAAACATATTAGATTTAAAGCCATAGGGTTTTGTATTTACCATATATAGTGCCATACTTTGTATTTATGTAGCTTAATAGGAGAATCTTTAGCAGAAGTCATAGAAAGTTTTTATTTTTAGGCAACCTGTAAACCTGCAGAAAAAACACAAATTATACAGTCAGCTTCAAATATTAAAGAAGAGGAAGAGGATAAAATAAAACCCGGTAATGAATCACAACAGCAATGCGAAATTAATGAAATTACAGATAAACAGAGAGCAACACCTTCTCAGGAAGCTATGAAAAATAAGATTGCTCTACTCGAAAAAAATCTGAATGCTTTGTATTCTGCCAGAGATACAATTCCAAGCCGTGCTGAAGTTGATAAACAGATCATTAAGTTGCGCGAGGAAATAAAAACAGCAAAACGGTCTTTAAACAGGAAGGTTCAAAACGCAGTTGCCCAGAAGAAACACAGGGATGGTATGAAAAGAAAGTTAGAAGATATTTGTTATGAAAATCCAGAAATAAAAAAAGACTATCTCTGAGGGATTCAGTGGGACATCCTAATCTTGAAAACAATCGACATTCACGATTGAAAACAATCGCGGATATAGCTTTATTTGGGAGTGCAGCAAATGATAGAAGGCGAACGGAATCAATTCGCAGCGTAAAAACTCTTGATGAACTCACACAAGAATTACGTAAAATATAATTTGACATTAGTCGCAGTTGGACAGATCTTCGTTTGATTACCAGAAAATCTAATTCTGCAGAGGGACGAAGACATGTATCGACAGTCCCTGTTAAGCTCATTCGGGCTCAAACTAATCACCACAAGAGCCACTTAGGTAGCAAGTTCGCTGAAACATCAATCCATTATTTAGAGAACATAGCATCCATACTTGGACCAGATCAAGTATTTTTCATATCTCAAGATGATAAAGCTCGAGTCCCTATTGGCGTAACTGCGGCAAATAAGCAAGCACCTCTTCTAATGCACATGGAATATAGAGTCAAATTGCCTGATCGCGATTGGGTAATCGCTGAGCGTCATAAATTAATACCATCTGTTTATGCTGGTATCAAAATCACTTCCAATATGCTAAGACAACCGCAAGCCGTTGGATATTCTGGACCAACATACATCGCTATTCGAAGTGGAAAGCATAGTTCATCTACTGCTAATACTCATGCTCAGGATTTCGACACGCTTCTCGAACTTCTCCCATTAGCTAAAACTGACCATGGACTAATAAAACCAGTGGTAATCATGACGGTTGATGGAGGGCCAGATGAAAATCCACGTTATCAAAAAGTCATAGAGTTTGCTATACAACACTTTAAGCGACATGATCTCGATGCATTGTTTTTAGCTATCAATGCTCCTGCAAGAAGTGCGTATAACAGAGTAGAGCGCAGAATGGCTCCTCTTAGTCGGGAACTGGCTGGTTTAATATTGCCTCATGACCATTTTGGGTCTCATTTGGTTGAACGTGGCGTTACAATTGATGAACATTTAGAAAGATCTAATTTCGAATTTGCAGGAAATGTATTAGCTGAATTGAGGGCTATAATGTTAATGTTAATGTAAAATATGTTGGGGCAGGTGAACAAGATCTTCCTGATTTTCCAGACATTAAATGGTATTCAGAACATGTGCGTGAGAGCCAATACTTGCTTCAAATTGTAAAATGGAGAAATACAGAATGCTGTCGTCCAAGAAGTGGCCTATTTAGATTACAATAGGTTTCTTCCACCACGTGTAAAAGTAAAACAAACAGTTGATGACTTGGTTTTGGATGAAGGAGGGCAATTTCTTAATCTTCCAGTCAATTTAGCTCTACGCTTAAGTGCTTCACTCAAAGATTTCCTGCAACTGCCCTACGATTATTTTTGTCCGTGGGTAAAATTGAGGCTATCAAGTCGAACATGCAAAACGTGTGGTCTTTATCATGCTTCCGTCAAGTCACTAAATCGTCACATCGAAAATATCCATAAAAAAGTAAACACGCACACTGATAGCAAAGTTAGACCTGTAAGAGTCGCTACTCGTCGTGCTAATGAACTAATGTGCATTATTCAAAATTTAGAGCACCATGATGTTGAATGGCTCGATGAGAACGACGTAGACATTCCAAAATCCGATGAAAGCGAGCAAACTCACAACACTGAGCTGCAATCGAAGCAATCCAATGTCATTGAAAACTTAGAATCATGGATTCGGGTTTCATGGACTGAAGACTGTTAATTTGAATTTAATATATGTACCAAAAATTTAAAATAAGTTTGTTATGTTAGTAAGATATATATTTTTGTCCTTTACTCTATGTTCAATACCGTATCAGTAAAGTATAATCTCTATCCTAAATCTATTTTCTTATTTTTCAAATTATAATTATAACGTTATAATTATAATATTAAAAAAACTACATTAATTTACAAATGTCTACGTAATCATGGGGGGAGGGGTAAGAGCTTTGCTTACTTTGGCTGACAGGGGGGGTGGGGGAGTAATTTAATTGTAATAAATCTGATTACGTAATACTTGAACAGCCCCTTACAACAAATAAAATTGAATGCTTGCTTGATTGCCTAGGCCGTCTGTGTAATCAACAAGTACAACAAATGACAAACTGTAATCTAAACTACCAATCTGGTAGTAAATCAGACGAGTCTCCCCTAATAGCTGATCGATCGCAAAGGCAAAGCAAACTGTTGAGAACTTTTTGCGGTAATGAAAATCGGACGACCTATTATTATTACCGCTTAATTTATGTCTTTGAAGGCTGACAAGCATTCAGCTTGTAATTATCGTACCTCTTTGCCGTTGATCTTTTGTTTTTATAGTTCGGCTTATCGTCGATATAGTCCAAGAAAAAAGGTGTCAATCTCCGAATGAAAGATGATAAGCGGAAAATCTGCATAGATCTCGTGATGACGCGTTTAATCGTACATATGAAAACGAATGTACTCAACTGCAATCCTTTTAGAGTAGATTATTTGGCTCATTAAATATGCGTTATACAGGGTGGGCCATAAGAGTAATGGCGATTTAATTCTTAAATTTCTCAGAAACGCGTGGCGCGGGTTTGGGGGATGAGCTGTTAGCCGCGCCGATGCCTGGAAATTTAGTCGCCATGGAGCCGTACACGCGAGCGCAGCGTGCATTTTGTGTCCGAACTTATTATGAAAACAATAAATCGGTTATTACTGCACGTTTGTATCGACATGGACACGGTTTACGCGATTTAAGAGAAGTTTCAAGCGCCAATGTGATACGGAAATGTGTCAGAATGTTCGAAACAACCGGGTCGACAGTAGCAATCACAGCTCGTGGGCGTCCAGTTTCTGCAAGATCAGCCGACAATGTAGAGCTTGTTCGTGTTTCAGTTCAGCGAAATCCGCAACAGTCAACACCTGATATACTATAACTATCTAAAACTGTAATGACTCATCGATGTTCACGTGAACATCACTTAACTACCAGTAGTCGGCTGTTCATAGGCGGGGTATGAATGTTTAACATGGGTGAACTAGATTTGTCACATGCTTAATAAAGAGTGGTTTGAAACATATTGTAAGTCAAAAATTTGGGAATTACCTTTATTCATCGTCGCTTCCACTTACATCTGACAGTAATAAACTGTCGCTATCGCTTTCCTCGTTGAAATTGACTATAACTGGCTCTATGATGGTGTCGATGTGGTGGTCAAGCTGCCACATTTTTGTTTCTTCCTTCACAACATGACGGATAGCATTCTGCCAAGCTTCGGGCGTTACTAGCTGTATGGAAGTCTCAAGTAAAACCTTAACGTCTGGTAATTTGAAGGTTGTGTTATGGCACGCAATATAACCCTTCACTTGAGCCCAGATGAGCTCTATTGGGTTCAGTTCACACTGGTAGGGCGGTAACCGCAGCACAGTGACACCACACTGACGGGCCATCTCATCAGTCACGTAACTAATGTTCGCAGGTTTGTGCTGTTTAATTTTTTCATACAATTCCGCTTTCACACATGAATCGTCAAACGGGATTCCTTTTTCGCGCAACCATTGCTGCATGTCACTTTTTCGAGATCCCATAGTCGGTACACGTTCGGCTCGACGGTAGAAAGCATTATCCATGACGATCACAGAGTTGGGCTCAACTCGCTGAAGCACCCCTTGAAACCAGCTCTCGAAGCAGCTGGCATTCATTTCGTCATGGTAATCACCTCCTTTCTTAGAGACGAAAATCAAGTCACACTCTTCTAAAAAGCCACTATCGCTACCAATATGAGTTACGATCAATCTTTGACCTTTCCCTGACGGTCCACGAAGACCTGTTGACAAACCTTCAATGCTTGCTTATCGGTTACTCACTACGTTTTTGTCTATCCAGGTTTTTTTAACTGTGTGACCTAGATTTACCCATGTCTCGTCCAAATAATAGATATTTCTGCTTTGTCGCCTATATTCAATCATTTCGCGTAGGTATTTTCGACGCCAGGCAACTATTTCAGGTCTCTCTATCAATACTGACTTCCGATTACGCGTTTCGTAACGAAAATTAATTTCGTGCAGGGATTTCCTCATTACCTCGACGCTCATTTGGGGTATAATTTCATTTTCCTTGATCGCTGCATGTACAGCCTTGGGGGTTGGTATCTCATTCCTAAAGAAGAATGAATGTACGGTTCGCCTTAACGCCATTTTGCTATCGTCATCCAATTTAACGGCCTTTCGTCCCTTCAAATTAAACTTTGGATCAGTAGTAGCTCCAGTTTTCTTCTTTTCATGCACCACCCTGCGAATGGTCCACTCTGGAACGCCTGTCATACTTTCACAACGCGCGAGTGCATCTCCCTACGACATAGTTCTGTTCAGATAATTGAACACGTTGAGCACGATTTCTTTCGCGTCCCTCTTCAGTGCGTTACGAAGCCGTCTACTTGTTCCCTGGCTTTCAGTACTTCCACTCGTGCCATTTGTACTCTCCATGGTTAAGTATAACCAAAACAATAACCACAGAAACCACAACAATAACAATCACACAACAATTCTTATAAAAACACACAATATGCGATCGCTCAACGAAACACGTTCCAATGCGTTGCCGACGCCTATGAGTCTGCCGGTCGAGGCGCGTCTTTGATTTCATTGGTTCTACCGGCGGAGAACAATCAGCCATTATTTCCATCTCTGTCTGTGCTGTTGACCACCGCAAAGCCACAGAAACGACATATGTCGTACGCTATACCGCTGTACTGGAAGGAAGCCGGGATCGAGCTCTGTTCACGTGTTGATCACGCGTATGGGTCATTACAGTTTTAAATAGTTGTAGTATAGAAGTCAGGCTTTGGGCATCAAAAGAACGAGCTTGCGGCGAATGTTGAAGCGTGATTTGCATTTGAAGGCTTATAAGATTCAACTAGTCCAAGAATTAAAACCAAATGATGCCAATAACCGACTTAACTTTGTCAATTTGATGCTTGGCCGATTCAACAGTTTTAACAACGTGATGTTTAGTAATGAGGGCAATGTTCACCTTAATGGCCATGTTAACAAACAAAATTATCGGTTCTGGCCCATCGCTTGCATGAACGTGTCCACTTCACAGCCCTAAACTAATCGTGTGGGCTGGAATTACGTCAACCGGTATTATTGGACCAGACTTTTTGGTGCCACCTTTGCAAGAAGTCCAAGGCCTACCTCTAGAACAATATGGGGCCACATGTCATACAGCTAGGGTATCTATAGAGCTGCTGAAAAATGTCTTTCCCGGAAAACTCATTTCGAAAAGGGGCGATATTGAATGGTCACCACGTAGCCCCGATCTTTCTCCATGCGATATTTCCTATGGAGCTACCTCAAATCGGTCGTCTACGAGAATAATCCAACTAATTTAGAGCAGCTGAAGAGGAATATTGTTCAGGAAAGTAACAAAATACTGAGAACAGCTTTTCAACCAGTTTTCCAAAATCTGCAGCTTCGGTTTCAAGAGTGCCAAGCAGCCCAAGGAAGTCATTTGAACAGCATTATTTTTAAGTCTTAAAAATTTCTATATTTCTACTTTGTAAAAATACATTTATTTTTCTTTTATATTACGTAGTTATTTTTTAATTGAATATTGAAATTGCCAACACCTTTATGGCCCACCATGTATTAGTGAATATGACTTGATGTTTCGCAAACTGTTAAACGGTTAAAGTTTTTGCCGGCTATTTGAAAAAGCATCCGTCTGGTTTGGAAACAGGTTCCGTCATAGAAATGGGCGAAGTTAGGATTCGTAAAGTTCTAATATTATGAATGTTACAGTTTTTAGAAGTTAAGGTCAGAACACGTTACCAAAACCTTTCAATGAGAATCATTAGTGAATATTTTTCTGCTGTTACCTATGTAGAAGAAACATGTTTTCTTAGCCTTCAGCGTTTGATAATTTTTAATTTTCAATTCGCACCTATCAGCTTATTTTACTGGATTATATCGTCGATATCCAATCGGCCTAAGGTGAGTGATAAACATCTTCGATGGTAAGGAACGTTCATGGGTACAATTACAATCAGTTAACTTACTACCCATATTATTCTTGTGAAAGAAGGATAACCGCTTATTTTTAAAGCTTTTATCGAATTTACCTTGAAATTAGTTGGTAGTGCGCATGTATTGTAAGCTTAGATTCGATTTTGCAGATCACATTCCACCATTTGCAAACTGAGCTTAAAAATTGATTATGATTATTTACTACTTGTGCGATGTGCGAATAGATAAAAGT